CATATCCCCCCCATTTCCCCATACCCCCCGCCCCCACCTTGGGCAGCAGGAAGCCCCTGAACTCGGTGTCCCTGGTCACCCTGTGCGGGACGTTCATGGGGATGAGGTCGGCGCAGCGCTGGATCTCGTGGATCACGGCGTCGCTGAAGGGCAGCGCGGGGCGGTCCTCAACGCGGGGCGGCCGCTCCCGGCCGATCACAGCGTCGATCTCCGCCTGCATCTTCTCTGCAACGCACGAGGGGCGTTGGGGACGCCGAAGTTGGGAGTGGGGTGGGAACGGGGTGGGAATGGGGATGGAACGGGGTTGGAATGGGGATGGGGTGGGAATGGGGTTGGAGTGGGGATGGAATGGGGTTGGAACAGGGATGGAATGGGTTTGCAGTGCAATGAGTTTGCAATGGGTTTGTAGTGGTTCTGCAACACAGTGTCTCTGCAGTGCACACCAGTGATGTTGCAGTGCACACTGGTGATTTTGCAGTGCACACCAGTGATGTTGCAGTGCACACCACTGATGTTGCAGTGCACACCAGTGATGTTGCAGTGCACAGCAGTGATTTTGCAGTGCAAACCACTGATTTTGCAGTGCACACCAGCGATGTTGCAGTGCACACCAGTGATGTTGCAGTGCACACTACTGATGTTGCAGTGCACACCAGTGATTTTGCAGTGCACACCAGTGATGTTGCAGTGCACACCAGTGATTTTGCAGTGCACACACAGCGGCCCTGCAGCGCTCACCCAGCACGGCCGGGTTCTTCATGAGCAGCACGAAGCCGTAGCGCAGCGTGGAGCTGATGGTTTCTGTGCCCGCAAAGAAGAGGTTGAGGGCCGTCAGCTCCAGGTTCTCCATCGTGAACTCCGAGTTCGGGTTGTTCTTCTCCTGGGGGGGCAAAAAGGGGGGCGGGAGGGGTTGCAAAAGGGGCAGAACTGCCTCGGGGGCTGCAAAGCGATGAGGCGTGGAATCGCTTTGCGGTTTGCAAAGGCGGTTGGTGCAGGATTGCTTTGGGGTTTGCAAAGATGGTGGCTGCGGAGTCGCTCCGGGGTTTGCAAAGGCGCAGAACTGCTCTGGGGATTGCAAAAGGTGCAGAGTCGCTTTGGCATTTGCAAAGTCAATGTTTGCAGGATTGCTGTGAGGTTGCACAACGCTGACGGTGCAGCTTTGCTCCGGGACGCACAAACAAACTGGGGGTGGGACGGATCAAAGCTCAGAGCGTGCAAACAAACAACGCAGATATCACATCTCCAGTGGTGCAAAGAAACAGAGCCAACGGGTTTGGAGGGCAAGCAAACAAGGGGGGGGCAGGAGGAGAATGGGGGGTGCACGCAAAGCGTTGCATGCAGGAGGGAGCGGGGGTGCATGCAAAGGGGGGTGCAGGAGCAAATCCCAAAGCGTGCAAGCAAAGCGGTGCGTGCACACGAACGTGGGCTGTGCATGCAAAGCGAGGCGTGCAGGATGAAGCAGGGGGATGCAAAGCAAACGATGCCCCCCCCCCCAGGCCCACCTTTTCCATCTGCAGCAGGAAGCAGTCGATGAAGTCGCGGGGGTTGCTGGGCTCCAGGCTCTGGGCGTTGCTGCGCACGCGGCGCGCGATGAAACGACGCATGGAATCCAGCAGGGAGTAGATTTTGTCCTGGGGGCCCGGGAAGTACTGCAGCAACGTCTCGCTCATCTCATAGAGCTGGTTGGTGGAAGGGGGGGTGCAATTTTGGGGGGGGGGATGAGATGAGGGGAGGGCGTGAGGTGGGACTGCACCGTATGGAGCGGGCAAAGCCGTGCGTGCAGAAGGTGCTGCATGCAGAACCTGATGCACTGCAAACCTGCT